CATTGGGTGGTGCGTTGGTTCCCCACACTTTTAACTAGAAAAGACTAGAGGTAAAGGTTGTGATGTTTGTCATCATGGACTAGCAACCATGTAGGGTTGTTGAAGGTAGTGGGTTTATGACTATGATGATAGAGGCTCAACCCCGGTTCAAGATTCCAGATAGGAAAAAGATTGCAGCAGGTGTTTTTGATGTGTATGTATTGGAGAAGACGAGAATAATCGAAGCAATGCGTAATCAAAGAGTAAGTATCACAACTGATACTTGGACATCAATCCAAAACGTCAACTACATGGTAGTTACAGCTCACTTCATGGATAGTGATTGGAAGTTGCACAAACGGATATTAAATTTCACAAAGATCACAAGTCACAAGGGAGAAGACATTGGGAAGATTATAGAGGTGTGCTTGAACCAATGGGGGATAGAGAAGATCTTTAGTAGTACGGTTGACAATGCTTCCGCAAACGAGGTTGCTATTGGCTATATAAAAAAGAGGTTAAAAGAAATGAATTCCCTCTTAGTTGACGAAGAGTACATATACATGAGGTGTGCGTGTCATGTCATGAATTTGATTGTGAAGAGTGGTTTGAAAGAGCTTTCTAAGTCGATTGAAGGAATTCGAAATTGTGTCAAGTACATACATTCTTCGCCGGCTAGATTGGATAAGTTTAGGGATTTTGCTATTTTGTTCAAGATGGATAAAATGTCAAATGTGCCTTTTGATGTGTCTACGAGGTGGAATGCAACATATAAAATGCTTGATGTTGCATACAAATTTAGAAAGGTATTTTCTCGAATGGCGGAGGAGAATGTTCAGTTTCGTGATTACTTTGAAGAAATGGAGATGTTTTCAAAGAAGAATTTGATAAAGAGAGTGGGCCCTCCTGTAGAGGGGGATTGGGAGAAGCTAAGTCACAGGCCTTTACCCACTTTCCTAAAAAATTCTATTATTCTACTTGAAACTTAGCGCAACCAAAAGAATCACATCAACGATACTATGGGATCAAGTGGTTGCTTTGCGAAAAGAAATTGAGAAAAAAGAGAACGATGCTACTAATCCTACTTTGCAAAAGGTTTCCACTTCAATGATGCGCAAATTTAATAATTATTGGGGAAGTTTAGAAAAACTCAACCCATTAATTTTTCTTGCTCAAGTGCTAGATCCTTGCTTTAAGCTTCAAATGATTACGATCAATCTCAAAGGATTTGGATGGGATAATGAAAAGGTGGATTTGATGATTAAAAAAATCAAAAAAATGTTTGCTTGATTTGTATAATGAGTATAGAAAGACTTCTTTCACTACCATTGGAGTTCCAGAAGATGTGGAATTAAATCAAGCTTGTGGGGGCGATGAGAACAAAGTTGAAATGACGAAGAAACTTGTACAGGAAAGAAGAGAGAAACGAATTTCGGAGATATCTAATGAAGTGGATAAGTACTTTGCTGCTCCATACAGAAGCGTGGTTGTTGGTGGTGGCTTTGATCTTGTAAGTTGGTGGAAATCAAACACAAAAGAGTTTTCTATTCTTTCACAAATTGCAAAAGACATCTTTGTTATCCCCACTTCTACTGTGGCTAGTGAAAATGCATTTAGTTTAGGGAGAAGGGTTGTAGATCCTTTTAGAGCATTATTATCTCCGAGAATGGTAGAGGCACTAGTATGTACCAGTGATTGGCTTAGGGCAGATGAAGTAAATCTCTACAAAAAGCCAACTGAAGATATGCTTCAATTTTATAAAGAAATGGAAGAAGTTGAAAAAGGTAAGAACTATTCAAAATTCTTTAGTAAATTTGTAAAGAATTTTCATTTTAAGTTATTTTCTCTAAATATTTTTCTTCTTGTGATGCAGCAAATATCCAATCTTCACAAAAGGATTGATGTTACTGGCCTATCTTTTGCTGCTATTTGTGTCCTAAAAGAACAGTTGCTGGAATATGGGAGAATTGCTTTTGTCTTTTTTTTCTTTTTTGTCCTAAAAAAACAGCTGCTGGAGTATGGGAGAATTTCTTTTGTCTTTTTTGTGCAGGGAGTTTTATGTTTAGAACATGTCAATATGCCTGTTAGTTTGGTTAGTTTATGCTGCCAGGAGGAATTTTATCAAGTTAGTTTTGTAATTATTTTGTCACCTGGTTATGTTTCTAGTTTGGGTATATTTAAATAGCTTCTGTACTATGATAGTTTTAATTGGAAGCATTATGAATTTTATTTAAATGATTACTCTAAGCATTGATTACTTTTGCTTCCAGATTATTATGCATTTTGCTAGTAACATGTTCTTCAAAAATAAAATTTTCTTATTATTAAAATCGGTAATACATGTTACCCTACTGTACCCTACCGAAATTTCAGTATAACGAAACTCGGTATACCGAAACATTTGGTAGGGTAATGGTAATCAATTTTGATATACCGAAACTTTGGTAATGGTAGTGATCGAAGGGTTTTGGTACAGTTGCCCTACCAAACCCACCCCTAGTTTTATCTTTATGAATACTATGATATTCCTATAAACATTAGAAATCTCGTTCTCTCTGATATGAGTTATGGATAAAAATATAAAAAAATCCTTCTCAAAAAACAATTACTTTTAAGTTTCTCACATTATTCAAACATGTATCATTTAGCAACATGTCACACCCACTTAGAGATGTAAGTGGGATCACTTGAAATTAGTAGTTCAAAGGTCAAATTGGAGAATTGTTTAGGAATGCGGGTTTGAATGTCACGAGTTTTGCGTTGATTTAAGTATGCGATATTTGTTCGCATTTCTTGCAAAACCACTTAACACACAATGTGACACGTCAGGGAGTTTCCCACGATTACACTCTGACACTTAAGTTAGGTGATGTCGCGTGTTGAAAATTAACCCAATATTTGAAAGCAATCATGTACCTTCAAATCATGGTAGTTAAACTCGCGATATATATCGCGATACGGTACAGTCCCAATCAAAACGATACAACTGAAACTTTGTATGGACTATGCATAAATACCGGCAAATATCTCGGGATATCGTATTGTATCCCCGTATCACGATACGATATTTATTATATATATATATATATATATATATATATATATATATATATATATATATATATATATATATATATATATATATATATAAGCAAACAAAATATTCACAGATTCAGGGCCTAAAAACTCTTCAAATTTACATCCCTAATTCACTCTTCTCTCTTCAATTTCTTCAAGAATTCTCAAAATATCGCAGCCCTAACTCATTTTTTTATAGATTCTTGCGACTTTTTGTGGTTCAATACCGATTCAAGTGCGAATTTGACTCTTCGCGCATATTATTTAATGTTCTTTTTACATATATCTGGTCCAAAAAATCTAAACGCCACAAGGCAATAAAAGAAAAGACCAAAGTTGGAGTTGATGAAGTTGAAGAGATGATGAACATGAGGATGAAGATAATCGTTTGAAATTGTTGGATGATTTAAGTGACATTGATCTTGAAGATTATGAGTGATGGGTTAGTTTTTTTAGAAATAAGGGAGTCGGATTTGAACTTTGTTGATGTTATTTTACAAGCAATTAGAACTGTCCTATTTTATAATGCAGTGTTGAAACTTGAATTAATCTCTCTCTCTCTAAGGCAAACGTAATTTGGTTAGCCTTAAAGAAATCTTATCAGTTTCAATACATTGAATACAAAAGTAGTAAGCAATTGTAAATTGATTAGTAGGTATCAAGTTTGGGCATATAAAAGGTTTTCTGCCTCTCAAGAAAAAACCAATATTTTATTTTAGTGGCTTTGCACATCTACTTTTTTTTTATGTGAATGAAGTCGACCGAAGGCCTAGAACAAGACAAAAATAAAATGAAAATACAACAAGCTGATTTTCCAATTCAGGTAAATAAAATATATTTTCTACTTCATTTTTCATTTATTTTTGTTAACTTATTTAGCTTATGTAATTCAATCGTTTGGCAGGTTTCCTCCATCTCAAGTAAAAAGGAAAATATTATGAGCAACAAATCATGTTGTGTTGATGACTCAATCTCAAGTAACTTACTAAGTATTATTTTTAAATTATTCAAATAAATTGAGATTTAAAATAAGATTGTAATGTGGTAATTAATTATCTAAGATTTACTTATTATTTTTACAATTTAAATTGTAAATTCTTGGCCGGTGGTATTAGAATATTGGTGAGAACGAATGCGAGTAAACTGCAAAAAATACCCCTCTATAATCTCCAAATAGCAAAAAACCCCCGTGATAAATACACTAGCAAAAACATCCATGTGAAATTTAGTCAAAGGCAACCCCCC